AGTTCAACCAAAAGACAAAAACAAATTCACTGAAACAACCAGAACATGCAGTGATATGTATGTGATACAACAGGTGCTCCAGGTCAGTCCGTATTCAGCCAAAGTGCTACTTTGGAAAAGTGCCCAGCTACACTAAAATGGAAGGAACAGTACCTCAGACATCCATTAGTAGTAGAAAGTTTCACTCAGGGAAAAACAATAAAATCACCTTTGACTCAGAGATCGCAGTTACCAGCATAGAAATCCCCACCGAGATTCAGTGCATCTGCTCATCTCAAGTCATCATATAAAATAACCCCATCATAACAAAAATACCTCTTTGTTCAAAAAACAGAAAAATAGGTAAAAGTTTGAATTGTTTATGCGTAGACGTTTTAACCCCTTCATGACAGGAGACGTACACTGTAGGTGCCGCCACAAAGGGCCCAAATGACTGATCACGTAAACTGTACGTGATCAGCTATTTGGGACACTGTAATGCTGGTAACAGCAGTTACCGTTCTTAATGGATGCCTCAGTATTGAGGCATCCATTAATGAAACAGTTAAGCTTTTTCAGACACCTGATCCTTTTCAGGAACCGGGTGTCTGACAGTGAGAGCAGAGCTGCATTTGAAGCTCTTGCCGTCACTCTGACAGCTGGTATAGATCGGAAATCCTGATGTATACCGGCTTTGTTTTCCTAAACCTTCAGCAAGAGAAACATTTAGCTACAGTTTTCTCTTGCTGAAAGAATGTTGAAGGTTTCTGATTGTTGTTGGAACGATCAGAAAACCTTTAGTGCCCATTCACACTGGGCGTTTTATCGCACGATTTCCGCCACGATATCGTGCATTTTTGCCGCGCGATATCGTGAGAAGTCGCCGTCCAATGATTGTCAATGGAGCTATTCTAATGTACAGGTCACTGTTGCTTGTGCAGGACCCTTTTGCTATTTTTGAATGCAGCCCGACGTTGAAGGACGCTGGAACGTTGCCTGAACAGTCGCGCTATCCCGCCGCGCGGAAATCCGCTCGAGGTGAGTGTCGCTTAGTGTGAATGGGGCCTTAGGGCTTGTTCACACCAAATGCAGACCAGATCTGCATAAGTTTCTGCACATGTAGTGCAGTGTATTTTGCCACGTTTTTTGCACGTTCAGGGCTGTTTTTGCAAAAAACCTTTTCTTTTTTTAAACTTTAAAATGGGCTTTCAGTGCGTTTGAATGCGTTTTGCTGCAGTTTTTTTACATGCTCTGGAACTGAACGCTGCGGTGTGAACTAGAGCCCCAAAATACCATTGGAATACATTGGACGCAGTTTTGATCCGTAACTTTTGATCTGTAACTGCTCTGCTCCTGGAACGCGCTTGGTGTGAACTACCCCGTAGTGACATCTGATCCTGAAATCCTACAGGATAAGTGTCACTAAGGTTATTATTGGCTTTTCTTTAAGTTTGAAGCAGCCCGATAACCAAAAATTAAATTATCAAGCAGTAACAGTGAGATTAATTCACAATGACTGCTTGATATAATTAAATAAAAATGTTTTTTTTTTAAAAGTGTAAAAAAACCAAAAATAAATGTAACAAATAAGAATGATATATTTAAATATTTTTTATACTATCATTAATAAAAATTTAACCCATTACAATGAAAATCTTACATTTCTAAAATCCTAGGGATGTGAGGTTTTTCCAAATAAAAGACATATAAATGAATGTACTTTTTTTTTTAGCTGTACTATTTTTCTAAAAAATAGTACAAATCAGAACTGGGGGAAAAGTGTTTTCTTTACGTTTTTTTATTTTATTTTATTTGTCCTAAGTGAGGTGTTAGAGCTATATATTTATATTACATATGTGTACCTATCTGTCCTCTAAAGATCAATAAATAATGTGTGTGGGTGCACTTAGTAAGAAAGTATATTACCGACGTGGAAGAATCACACAGCAAAAATGTCAAAAGTGTATCAGTCATTTACGAAGAAAAACTAAAAACAAGCTCAGTCATGAAGGGGTTAACACCACCTAATATTATGACTGTTTGGTAGCAAAGGGTTGCTCTTCAACATTTCTGAACTCATCTTCATCCTTTGCCTCATGCAAAAAAGAAAGTCTACATTCACTGTAGCCCAAGTGGGCTCCTGACCTCTTCTGCTCAGGCAGATAAGATGAAAGATAACAAGGGCATGGTAAAAGTGTACATAAGCGGTGCAAAAACCTATTAACTGGATGGTATGTATACAAATAAGTCATTAGGAGGACATAGTACAGATGTTGTTATATTGATGTTATAATCCAATCAAATGAGGTCATCTGTAACATGAGTTGCATTAATACAATTGTTAGTCACATGATGGGAGCAAACGGATGTCAGATGATTTTTATTTTACAACGTTTGCTGTTAAAGCAATTTTTGTTCAATTATAGTAACTAAAAAAGAAAAAAAAATTTTTACAACAAGGCTGGAAGTTTTTTTTGTCTATTGCCATTTGCAGTATCATCGGGTATTTTTCAGTACTTGCAGGGTTTTTACAGAGACAGAAGGGAGAGCTGTGCTACAGATGTGTTTTCTTTTTACATTGTGCCGACACATACACTTTAATCTACATTACAGGCGGTCAGACATGCAGGTACAAGCCAACCACCCTCAGGATTGCCTCCGACATATTGTCTGTCTCCATAAACATGAACGCTCAGCTTAGACATCAGCAGATTCCAGGACTTTCAGGTTTAGGGTCTTTTAGTAAGGGCTCCCAAAGTAAGAAAAATAGGCATATGTACACATAAATGTAACACAGGCACCCAAAAATGCTTCTGTATACCTGCAAATGTCTTTCAGAGTGCTATGAACCAAATGCCTACTTTTACATTTTTGACCCATCCCCTTCCACCTGCTTCTTCCAGGATGGGCAACCTCGTAGTCCAATAAGGAGGTGCAAAGGCCAAAACAAAACCTCTACTTCCTAGCTGATTTTGATATTGTATAAGAAAGCACCCCAGGTTTCTCAGTTTCCAGGGCACATTGGAAGCCATCTTAAAGCGGACCTTTACCTACTTTCACTAAAATCACCTCAGCACGCAGCTCTGCATGCCGATATAAAATTATCTTACATTCATTAGTTAAAATATATTTTCCTTTTACTTACAATTATTGTTTTCCCACTTCTTGGACATTAGTGATGTAATGTGTCTGAGTGTCGCATCCTGGGAAAGTTACATCAGCATTGCTGGGAAATCTCATAAGATCTCAGGGACAGGCATTTTCATCCCCTGAGATGATGTGCATGGTCACATGTCCTAGTCACATGTGCCAGAGTTCCAGGAAGTAAAGGGAATATATTAATCTCCCCTTACTAAAAATTGCCACTGTGAGAAGAATGAGGAGGATAAAACAAACAAGGTATGCAAAGAATAAAAAGCCGGTGTTCTGTCGAAAACCCCAATTTCTTGAGATGTCCCACGACGTCACGTCTGGCTGACTTGCCAGTAAGATGTTTGGATAAGTTGGCTCTAGTACGCAGGCGCCACCCACAGCATTTTCCTAATTCTCATCAAGTTCACCAATGCTCTTCACTGCGCGGCTTCAGATCCCAATTCTATATACAGGTGAAACTCGAATAATTAGAATATGGTGCAAAAGTAATTGCAGTAAGTTCTGCAAAAAGGGGCCCAAACCAAGTACTGAGTACATATGCATGCTTGTACTTTTCAGAGGTCCGATATTGTTCTATGTACAATCCTTGTTTTATTGATTGCATGTAATATTCTACTTTTTTGAGGTTGCGGATTTGGGGTTCTTGGTTTTCATGAGCTGTAAGCCATAATCACCACAATTATGACAAATCACGGCTTGAACTATCTTGCTTTGCATGTAATGAGTCTCTCTCATATATCAGTTTCACCTTTTAAGTTGTATTAGTTAAATAAATGAACTTTGCACAATATTCTAATTTTTCGAGTTTCACCTGTATATTGAGTGGGACAACTCATATTAATAACATGCTGGATTAGTCTCATCTTTGTTGATTATAATACTTTATTGCTGTCTGGTATGTATTCCTACTACTGCAGCTACAGCTGGTGTTGTATTTTCAGTCATAGTTTAAAGCGGACCTTTACCCTTATCTCTAAAATAACAACAAACACACCTTTAGAAATGTTAAGTAATGGCAATCTACAAACACATCCTTCTAGATAATTGCCGGCTTTGTATTCTTTGCCTACCTTATTTCTATTTTCTGCCTCAGTCTTCTGGCAGGGGCCATGTTTACTAAGGGCAGAATGCTAGCTCTCCTATTACTTCCTTGATTTCTGGCACATGTGACTAGGCACTTGAAAAGGACACGTGACCATGCACATCATCTCAGGGGAGGAAAATGCCTTTCCAGATGAGATTTCCCAGCAATGCTCTGCTGATGACAAGGCAATCCCAGTGTGCATTGCGTTGGCAAACTGAAATCATTTGCACTTTCAAAGCAGGAAGTGAATGCTCTGCAAGTGTAAGTATTTCAAAATCACAGCATTTTACACCTGACATGTCTGTGTTATTATTAATCATCATGCATAGAGGGATGCATTAGTAGAATTTCATTTTTGGAGTGTAAAGGTCTGCTTTAATGCATACATACCAGACAGCAATAAAGTACTAACATCAATTAAGATTAAACTAATCCAGGCACGGTAAAAAGAATTGGAGATTATGATAAGGCTTCTGAAGCCACGCAGGCGCAGTGAAGAGCATTGGCGAACTTGATGAGAATTAGGGAAATGCCGCGGGTGGCGCACATGCACTAGAGCCAACTCATCCAAACATCTTGTGGCGGCGTTGGAGATCGCCAGAAATTGGAGTTTTTGACAGCACAAGGGCAATTATCTAGAAGTATCTGTTTATAGATTTCTAAAAGTTTATTTGTTGACATTTCAAATATAAAGTTCCTCCTTAACCCAACCATTTACCTACCTCCTTCAAATATGAACATTGTTACTGTAAGTAAAAACAAGTAAGATATCGCCCAGACTTACCGAGAGAGGCATCACCATCGAGCAAGTGGTCATCTTCCAGGGTGTGGAAGTCCATCATGCCCCCAGCTCCATCCAGGAGTTCCTCGTCACTGCTTGCACTAGTAATACTGTTGTAACTGTTCCGGTAGTAGCTTCTCTGAAACAGCTGCTCAGACTCCATTTAGATGATGGACCACCTGTTTTTGATGCATACAAGAAACATTAAAACTCTACAATGGTGCAGCTAGAAACCTACATCTAAAAGTATTGACTCATTTAAAAGCAGATACTGTACACAATCCAAATGCTTTTAACCAATTACTGAACACAGGAAAACAGGGCAAATAGCTAACATCAGATGCAGAGCTTGACATCCCCCAATGCCAAGGGGACTGTGTACTGCGCAGCAACCCGTAGCAACCAGAGTTTACTATGGTCAGCTCGGCTTAGAGACTCTCTATTGCTGTGGTTGCTGCACACTGGTAGTGGTATGTAAGAGAAGTGTTAGTGAAGAACAGGTGACAGGACTATTGTGGTTATGATGCTAAGATTTCATTACACAAATGTAATACTGCAAGTGTACACGTAAATGTGCCCTTAGATATAGATGACAGTCTTCTAATCTGGGGGTACTGTCCAGCCTGAGGCCAGGTTCAAACCTAAGCGATTTATCGCACACAACACTGATTTACATTAAAGTCAATGGAGGCTGTTCACACCTGCATTTGTCACACGGGTGAAATCACCTGGCGCGCAAGAAGGTGTAGGAGCTATTTTCAGGCGGTTTTGGTCCCACAGACATGCATTGAAAATTGTACGGTTTTTGAAGCAAAATCGCGCCGAAAACATTAAAAAAGGAAATCGCCCTAAAACAGCTCAATCACCCAGGTGTGCACCTGGCATCAGGCTGGACAGTGTCGCCAGATTAGAAGACTGTCATCTATATCTAAGGGCATATTTACTTCATAATGGTCTTCTAATCTGGGGCACCTAGGCGATTGAGCTGTTTTCACTAGTTTTTTTTTTCTGCACGATTTTGCTTCGAAAACCGTGCGGTTTTCAATGCATATCGATGTCTATGCGACCAAAACCGCCTGAAAGTAGCTCCTGCACCTTCTTGCGCAACAGGCGATTTCACCTGCACGACAAAACACAAAAGGCGTGAACAGCCTTCATTGACTTTAAATGTAAATCAGTGTTTTGCGCTATAATTCGCCTAGGTGTGCACCAGTACTGAGGGGACGTCATTATTGTCTAAGCAAGGAACAAGGAAGTGGGTAGCAAGTACCTGATGAAAAAGGTGCTGCTCCTTAATTCTATTGTACTTTGTCCACCCCAACACACAAACACACACTTTTGCCGAATGATTGAAAAACAGAAGGAATAAGTACCTACTAATTTGCCGTACATAGCAGTGAATTTTGCATTTTCTCTTCACTTTTAGCATAATCCAAACACAATTCTAAACTGAGATCAATAAAACACAAAATGCTATAAAGAATAGTCGAAGTAAAGCTTACAACGAACACAATACGTACCAATTAGGTCATAAATAATCCTAACAAAGGATGCCGCTTTCTTCCTGGACTCCGTGATAAAGCAGATATCTATGGGAATGAGAGTTGGCCAGTGAAGCTGTAATATGGTCTTATGATACGGACTGAACACGTGCTTCAGATCATATGAATGAAGAATGCTTTACAGATGAAAGCATCCATTTATAAAGCAGCCACCACTAGACACAATGGGAAACTAAAAACCAGGAAACTGATGTCCATGCAAGAAATACATATATTCCATTTCCACACTCTGAAATCTAAGTTGAATTTTCCATAGTTGCGTTATAGCCCATCTCTGGCAAGTTATTTCTTGCCAGAGATGGGCCACTTCAAGGGTTGGTTTTTATTTAAACCAACCCTTGAAGTGGGGCTATCCTCACACTACACGGGAGTTTTCCTCATTTATGTGTAGGAGGAACGGAGTAAAGGACTTTTACTTACCTGATCCCCGCTTCCCCAGCACTCACCTCATCTCAGTAGGACTGTCCCTCAGCATCCTCATGTAAAATGGGCCCTGATTTAAGTGTGATGACATAAGTGGGCCCCTGACCACCAAAGCGGAGAGTGAAAGCGGCTGCGGGTGCCTATCTTGAAGCCTGAGTGAGTGGGGATCAGGTAAGTAAAAGTGCTTTACACAGCAGTATATGCAATAGTGGTTCCTCTATTTTAGATCTTTTATGTTCAACGATATATTGAAAATGGTCCTACTTCCCTTCCGTCTTACCCCGTCACCACCCACCCTTCCCTTCCCCTACTCACTCAAATTCCCTACTCCCATACCTTACCTTTCCCTCTCCGTGCATGAGAGAACGATTCTGGGAAATGAGTACTTACTTAAGCTTTTGGTTCTGATGCACATGCTGTGATTTCCTCATTGTCCTACTTCTTGTATGTATACTGGTCTTGTGCTACCTATGTTTCTTTTTATTATCTTCCAATAAAAATGTATTATACAAAAAGAAAGTGCTTTACACAGTACACATAGACAAAAACTATCTAACCCTTGCAGCGCAGGGGTCTCCACTGCAGGTGTAGTTTACTTTTTTCCTGAATGGAGACTTGAAAATTGAATCTGAAGGGACTATGCATTGCTGACTTGTTTGTCAAAAGTGCTATTTCCAGGCACTTCACTACCCAGTCAAATACCATCTTAAAATAAGAATGCATCTGTTGAAGTTCATAGAGTCGGATATCCCCTCCCCACATGCTTGTTCCAGGTCAGCAACTGACAACGTAGTGAACGCAGCATGAAGATGAAAGTCCTTGGGTTAACGCCCCAAATAAGTATGCAGTCGCAGCTCCCATATTTTTCCTGTTAACTGTGCCCGTGGAGGGGAAAGTAAAAGGGCCACTCAGCTCACCCTTCCCCGGCAGCTTGTACACAGAAAGCCTCTATATACTCCAAATCAACTTGTACAAGCTTACATGGGGCTTCCAACTGCTTCCCCTGTCCTATGTGATGGTGCTGGATTCATCAGGAGGCACCTAGCACTGTCACGTGTCGGGTAGGGAGTCACATGATCAATCAGACCTGGAAGGGCTGCTGAGTATTTCTATTCGCTCCTCACTGAACACAGCAGAAGGGGAGTAAGCAAATGAAGTATACCATGCTGGGAAGAGGTGGAACCTTTACCTCCCATCTTAATGAACAAAAGGAAAGTGTACATTTAGGCACAGAAAAAGACATCCAATTAAACATTTTTTAAAAACTCACATTTATTTTAAAAGGGAATGTCATTGTGTTTAATCTTTTCCTTTAGGTATTAATGCCAAGATTAAAAATTACACTTTTTTTTGTAATAAGGAAAATATTACATGTTGTAATTTCCTTTCGAGCCAGGAGGTGGAGCTCTAAGCTATTTTTCACAAGTTCTGCTCTTCCTCCCGTTACCCTAAGGAGAACTATGGGGAAAAGACTTAACCCCATAGTTCTCCTTTAAGCTGAAATGTGTATACACAACTATGCGAGTCAGAACTGTTACCTTTCCCCCTCTTTGTTTCGCTAATCTTTGAGGCCTATTCGTATTTGCCTAGCAAAACACCACAACAAATCCAGAAAGACTTGCCAAAAAACAATATACACTTCAAAGCCACACCGTTAGGCTCACAAACCACATCAGAAGTCTCCAACAATCAGTGGTGCGTAAATAAAAAAAATAAAAAAAAACCTACTTGTCCGAGGACTAAAGCGGTGTCCCTCATGACAATCTACTTGTCTTTATACAAAATTTTGAAACCAAACCGTATTTAGCAGTGTTAAGAAGCGCTTCTCATTGGTCAGCGCCATCAGGTGACCGCGCTGACCAACAAGTGCTTGTAATTTGCAAGGGAAATTCAGAATACATGGCACAGGTACAGATAGTACACCCGTACTGGCAGACGGGAAGGACCGTTCGCTGAAAGGTAAGTAAAGCGTGGGGGGAGAGGGGGCCAGATTTGTGTGGGTAATTCCATTTTCCCAAATTGATCTCAATGGGGTTACAGCCGCGTGGCAATCGCTGAAAAAAGGTACATGTTTCTTTTTTGACGACATGCACCGTGCAGTGTTTTCAACCATGATTATGCGCGATTGCACGGGCGGTATTGCGTCGGGAAGCAGCGCAATCTGCCTGGCGCGACTGGGGTGCCATTAGAAAATAATGGCAGTGCCAACACAGTGGTGTGCGATTCTGTGACCGCCCGGCCATCCGCACGGTTTTGTGCACGATTGCCGCACGGATCGGCCACTTCACACACAATATATTTATTTATAACAGGTATTTATATAGCGCCGACAATTTACGCAGCACTTTACATAATTGCACATTCACATCAGTCCCTGCCCTCAAGGAGCTTACATTCTAAGGCCCCTATTTCACATGCATACAGACAGGAGCCAATGAACCTTCAAGCATAATGCCCTATGCGTGTGTTTATTTGCATGCAGATGGTGGGGGCAGCAGGGTTGATTTACATTTTTATTTACTTGATTTTTTTTTTTTTACTTTGTAAAATTTTTTGCAGCAGACATTACTAATCGCGCTAGATCACCAGGTAAGCAGGAGAGGGGGCTGTG